AGCCACGATGCATCTAAGCTCGTGCTTATAAATGGCTTCCTTGTTAAGGATTTAATCCTTGCTAAGGTTGTGCTCGCAACATTAATACTCAAATTATATTTGTTTCCATGCATCAAGAACTCATCCTTTTACTTAACCAAGAACTTTGGATGTTCTTGAGCATAATTTAACGACTCATTGCATAGATTCAAGTCAATTGGTATTTTATACTTGTCATGCTCTAAGCATGCAGGCCATGTGACAATTCCGTATCGTAGCATACATGATGGATTCAATTGCTGAAATATTCCCAATTTCATCCCATTCATGTGACTTTTAGCTCATCCAGTATCACTTAGTCTAGCTAAACTGTCTGCTATATGATACAGTTGAAATTCTCTACTAGAGTCTTTCTTGTTTGACTTAGTATTTGCCTAGCTTGTACTTAGTTCAAACATTTACTTAGTTTTATAAATATGGGTCGAGAACTTTTCAAGTCCTTCATGTTTAACATGGTAAATTCCTTTACTCGTTCAAACATTTTATTGAGTCTATGCAATAGATCTTAATTCCCACTATGAACTAAGTGTCGCCTGACGTTGGTCCATTGTCGAAAGTACTTTCAACTCTAAGCATTTAACATTTGGTAGTTATTTCACAACAGAGTTCGTAAACTTCTTGTTGGACCTTTACAAAATTGACTTTTGCTCCCACTAAACTTCTTATCTATAAGAATTTTTATGTTTCTCCATCAGCTAAACCTTTTTCTAACTTTATGATAAAACACATTCCAGTTCCTACATGCAATGCTTCTCTCAATCCACCAATGGATTTCTTGAGCTTGCTTTGAAATCTAGCATTATTTAGATTTACAAAACCCTTAGACTATATCCATAGTTTCTTCCAAATCCCCTTTTTAGGAAGGCGGTTTCGATATCTATTTTTCCATATTTCATATGCGCAATTTTGCTAGAATAATCACGAAAAGACTTAAGCATTCCAATTAGTGAATAAGTTTTATTAAATCGACGCCATGAATTTAATTGTAACCTTTTCAACCAATTTAGCTATGTATGCATATACATTTCCATATTTGTTAGTTTTCTCCTTGAAAACTTATTTAAAATTGATGAGTCTTTACCCTTCATGCAAATTAATCAAGTTTCAAACATGACTTTCAAACATGGAGTCTTTTCGGATTTTATGGCCTCTAACCATTATTCGGAATTTTGATTTGTTGTAGCTAATTTACAAGAAATTATTCCCTTACCATCCAATATTAAATAGTATGCTTGTAAGTCTTAGGTTTATCTCTAACTTAATAGAAATTTATAAGATTCAATCTAAGCCTTTGGATAATTCTATACCTATATGAGGTAATTGCATCAAACAATGAGTTTCAAGGTCCTTTTAAAGCCCTTTGATTATATTGATCTTACTCCAATACTTCTAAAGTTTTGTAAGTAGTGAATTCTCTCTTAAGGCACTTGTAAAGTCCTTTGAGTATTCTTGATCAATCATTCTCATGAAGCCCTTTTAAAGTCTTCTAAGATTCTCAGTTCTAGTTTGTTGCTAATCTCGATGGTCATCGAGTTCATTTTCCTCCCACTTGTCGTTTTGGAAATGTTTTACTTTCTGGAAAGACACCACTTAGAGCAACAAATACTATGTTCTCCATTAGGTTGTGGATGTAATGCCCATAGTCTCACTTGAATGCTAAAAAAGAGATATGTATATTTTCTTTGGCTAAAAGTTTGTTGTGAACAAACAGTTAGCTCCCACTTGAGCTATCTTAGCCCTTATTAAGCCACTTAGCTCCCACTGAGCCAATGAGCTCCCAGTAAGGCTAAGGGTCCTAAACATATACTTGAAAAGACGCTAGAAACTATTTCTATCCATAACTGAATATGGTATCCTTTCTTAGCTTCGACATTTTATTTAGCGTAACATTAGTCATTTGTGCAAATCTTTAAGATCTTTATAGGAAGGGATGTGATCCATCATCATGCAAGTCATTTCCAAATGGCATCGAGGTCTCCGTTAAGACATATTATATTCTTTGTGGAGCTAATTATGAAATTCCCATTTCATAATATGATCACTCTTGGATCAAGCAAACATCGCTCGATCTAATCTATATGTTTTGATATCTTGCCAAGTCGATTCTATTCTTCACTGAACTTTTGAGCTATTTAAGATCCAGTTTGTTCACATTTGATGAATATAGCCATATTCTTTCAAATTCTTGTGAAAACGTTGAAGTAATGGAATTCTTTTTAGCTTTTGGAGTGAATTGTCTATACCAAGCACAATAGCTCTTTTCTTTGTCAATTTGAATAAGTAAGACTTGCTCGTATTAGAATGATTTAGAATCAATCAACTTTCAAGAGTCTATCTGATAGAGCCTTGAGTATGTTCTTGTCGATGTGACATTGTTATAGATGTTTAGAACACAAATCATGTCCATGACTTGAACTTAGTGAGTTTTCATGTTAGAGAAATGTTTGTTTATAATCAAGCTTCCTTGACTCATGGCTTAAAAAACCATTCCATTTAAATAAAACCAACAACTATTGCTCTTTTACTTTGAATGTGAGTCTTTACATGTGTAAACGGATCGTTTGCTGATTATGGAACACAATAACCATTTATTTGTTCCAGCCTTAGCTTTAAAAGGTCTTTAAACAAAACAGATGACCTTACAACTGATGTAGCACTACTTACTTCATTCCAAGCTTGTAAGTCAATAACTTAGCTTAACTTCAATGTTTGGAGGTCACCTTAAAAGTGGAACACTCAAGAATTATTCGATACTTGTGAAGACAATGAGTTGCTAAGTTTAACTACGATAACATGAACTCTTAGGTAGAATTGGATTCTCGTATTCCTTTCGAATGTTCCTTGTTTCCTATATTCTTATCATACATCATATCATAACTTTTAAGAACCATTTCTTTAAGTGTTTTGTCTTTTATATACTTTGTTAGGCATAATTAAGCATCTAATGCGCCGTAAAACAAAGTACTTTAATTTTAATTCGTACTTGAATTACTACATCAATAAGTCCTACTCATTGGTGTATGAAGCAAAAAGATATGTTGGTTGTCAACTATTGACAATTTGAGTATTTCAACTCAATCTTCATGTTTATCAAAACTACCTAGTATTTTGAATACATGATGTCCAACTGTCCTTTCGGAATAAGCCATAAAAGTCATTTATGAGAATTTGTATTTTAGAAATGCCTTTTCTTTCCTTAAAAGCCATTCTCAAAAGATTTCCTTTTACCAATCATTGGAAACATTATAATTTGATTTTGAATTCTACAAATATAAGTGCAAAGTATTACCATTTATCAAGATAATAACATAATAAATTTAAAATTTAAGCATACATGCAAACTTTCAATCTTATTGAACGTTTTATCCACACATATAAAATTTATCCCAATAAGGCAAGAATAAAACGATTCCAAGATTCCAAAAATTGAAAAGTGATTAAGCATGCTTTGGCTTGTCTTAACACTTAATATTTTACAGTAAGCAATCCAATTGCTAATAGCTCTAAGCTACTCTTGGCTCGATAAAACGTCGCATCTAATACTTTCTTTACGTTTATCTCCATTGCCACGACAACTAAGGACTCCTTACTGATATCGTTGAGTTTAACAAAAACTAAAGTGTATATGATGCCTTGCTTTGGCAAGCGCACCAACATACATTACATCCCTAGGAAAGTAGTAATACCTTGCTTTGGCATAGCCCATTACTATTCTCATTAGTTCCGTAAGTGTCATTTTGGAATGGCAGATTTACCTCAATATTCCTTGGGACTTAGGGTTTCTTTGTTGGTTGATTTAAGTGAACTAAACTAATCATTCAACATTCGAAATCTTAAACATGCATTTAATATCACAATCATATATATACAATATATATATATATATATATATGTATATATATATATGTATATATATATGTGTATATATATATATATATATATATATATATATATATATACATATATATATATGTATATATATATATTGTTTGATCCTAAAGCTTAGATTTATTCTCATATATTAGGAGTGTCCTCATATATATATATAGGGTCGGGATCTGGTGAGAACCACCCTTTATGTGAGGAAACTCCTAATATATGAGAACAAATCTAAGCTTTAGGATCAAACAATATCAACGGCTCTAATAAATCCAAACTTTTGATATCAAACATATCAAACGATATACGGCTGCTACTCAGAAAAACATAGCAAAGAAATACGAGCTTCAATTTAAGTGAGAATCAAGAATTACGAACGTTATTCCATTTGATTTTTGTCAGATTTTAGCAGCAACAAGAATCGACAAGCTTCATAGATTATACAGGTAAATAATCATCAAAAGTTATGTTAGTGTTTTCCGAATGTATTTTTCTTAATTTTTGTTAGTATTTTCGAATTTCATGGTTTGAATGTTGGATTTTCATTAAAATTTTACCAATGAGTGATCTTAGCATCAAAATTTACAAAATATTTTTCAATTGCATGTTAATCTTAGTGTTTGAGGATTTCAAATTTTTCAGTTCAAATTATTTTCGTTAATTACATGTTAATTGCATGATAATTTTTGATTTTTGAGCTTTGTTCTGTTCTCATTGAATTACATGTTTAATTGCATCAGTCGCCAATTATTGAATTTCATGTTAATTGCATGATAATTTTCAATTTTTAAGGTTTGTTCTGTTCTTATTGAATTGCATGTTTAATTGCATCAATTATTGATTTGATTGAATTTACTTCTTTGAAATTTTTTGAATTAAATCAATAATTTAGGTTTGATTAATTTGATAGAGATAGAAAATTTGCAATCAAATTTAAAATGAGAAAATGAATTGAAAATTAGCAAACCTAATTATTTGTAATAATATAAAAAAAATGTAATGAGCAAACATAATTAAAATGAGCAAATCCAAAAAAAATGAGCAAATATAAAAATGAGCAAATGAGCAAAAATAAGTTGGTAATGGTGGTGGTGGTAGGGTGTAGGGGACAGGAGCGGCGGCGGGGGAGTGAGAGTGAGACAGGTTGTGGTGGTGATAGTGATGGTGGTAAGGTGTAGGGGCAGGGATAGGGGCGGAGGAAGGAGACAGAGTTTGGTGGTGGGGTGATTGTATGGTGTAAGGAAGAGGGTGACAAATGGCATTCATCTCATTAACATGAGTTGTAGAAGCAGTGAAAGTGAAAGAGGTAGTTGTAGCTAATGCTATTGCTAATGCTAGGATTAGAAGAGAAAGAGTGCCCATATTATTATGAAGAAAAAAGAGTAGAGAGAAAGAAAGTGGAGGGAAGTGATGGGAAGGCTTATGTAGCTGCTTCGGGGAAGGTGAAAAACTGCTAGGAGCCTTGCATTAGTGAAGCGAAGGCAGTCCTTTAGGGAATTCAGCTTGCTCTAGATTTTAGCCACTAACATATCACAGCAGAAAGTGATTTTAGTTAAGGAGCATTCATGATTGATTGCAGATACAACAGTATCCAAAATCAATTTCTCTTGCATCTACCTGGTCTATAATTGACTATTTATATAAAATTGATAATTCGATGAAAATTTGGTTCTATAGATATGCTTTATGCTTGATGTTGCTGCGTTGTACTGTGTGTTATTTTGACAAGTAATATATCATATATAGGCTCATTTAGCAAATGAGCAAATATTTAGTTGCTCATTTATCAAATGAGCAAATAATTAGTTGCTCATTTGTCAAATGAGCAAATACTTAATTGCTAATTTCACAAATAAGCATTGAGTTATTTGCTCATTTGACAAATGAGCATTTAATTATTTTCTCATTTGACAAAAGATCAAAGAATTGTTTGCTTATTTAAAAAATGAGCATTGAGTTCATTGGTATGCTTGCCTGTGCACAAGCCGCACACCCTTCTTCTTGGTCTGTTTCCTACATACCAACCACACTCTCTTCTTCCACTTCCCTGCAAAAACCTATCCCCCCCTGCCCCTTCATCTTTCTGCCTGCAGTTCTGATTTCATAAATTGTTGTGTGTGTGTGTGTGTGTGTGTGTGTGTGAGTGAGTGAATGTAAGAGTGTATGTATAAGTGTGTGTGTTTGGTTCTGGCCGCGTACATTCTTATTTAAGAATCTAATTTCAGTTCTAATTATTGAGAGTCTGTGTGTAAGTGTGTTTAAGGGGGTGCATATTCACTTGTTACTATTTTGTGGAATTGTTGATGACTTGTTATTTCTATTATATTTAATGTCAGAATTGATGAGCAACAACGAACAACTTGACAGTCATTCTAGTACCCATCACATATGTGCCAACTACTCCTACAATAGTAATTTCTCCTAAAGTAGCACCTTTGCTCACTCCTAGAGGAACAAAAGAATGGCTTCCAATATGCCCCAATGAGTTGAAACTAGTTATAGGGATGAAGTTTAATAATCTAGAATTTTATAAAAGTTACGCATTTGCTGCTGGATTCAAAACGAGAAAGTCTACAACTAAAAGACAAAGAAGAAGCAAAGAATTAAAATCACAATATATCTTATGCAATAAGGAAGGATACAAAGAGAAAAGAAAGGCTACTGTTGAAAAAGATTTAAATAACAAGGAAGGAGAAAGCAATGAAGAAAAAGCTTCAATCAAAAGGAAGAGACTTGTTACCCGTTTTGGGTGTAAGGCACATATTGTCATAAAGCATTGTGATGATAACAGATTCATAGTGTCACAGTTTCATGAGGGGCATACGCATGCACTTTATACACCTAGTTGCAATCTCTTCCAAAAAGAAGGAAGGAAAATGAACATATTGCACAAAAAAATAATTGTGAATAATTCTAAGGTAACACTTTTAAAATCTGTTATGTTTCATGAATAATCTATATGTTCTAATAAAAGTTGTTTGCTCATTTGAAAATCGAGCATTATATTGTTTGTTCATTTGAAAAATGACCATTGAAAAATGACCATTAAATTGTTTCCTTATTTTAAAAAGGAGCATTAAATTGTTGAGCATTGAATTATTTGTTCATTTGACAATCTGTTTTGTTCTTTATATAGGTGAATATTGGTCCCGTTACAACTTTTCGAATGATGAAGGAAATTGTTGGAGGTTATGATAACATTGGTGCATCTAAGCAAGATTTCAAAAAATTTCATAGAGATTTAAAAGCATACATTCAAGGAAGTGATGCTCAAATGTTTGTGGATAACTTTACCATTAAAAAGCTAATGTGGAGCGCTTTTTTCTTTGACTTTGAGATGGATGAAGATTATTGCCTTTGTAGAGCATTGTGGGTAGACCTCCTTTGTAAAAAGATTTATGCTCTATTTGGTGATATGGTATCCTTTGATACCACATACCAAACCAACAGCTAATACATAATAATCACAATTCATTTCTATGTTATAACCATGGCTTAACTTAACAACTTTATAAAATTGTTTGCTAATTTCAATGTGAAAAGTGAATATCGCCTTAAGTCTAATATTTTGTAATAAGAGTTTGTATGTGGGCATTGAATTGCATGTTCATTTAACAAATGAGCACTGAATTATTTGCTCATTTGACAAATGAGGAAAGAATTGTTTGCTTATTTCACAAATGACCAATGAGTTATTTGCTCATTTGACAAAATGAGCATTAAATTATTTGCTTAGTTGAAAAAAGAGCAAAGAATTGTTTGCTTATTTCACAAATGAGAATCGAGTTATTTGCTCATCTGACAAATGAGAACTAAATTATTTTATTATTTGTCAAATGAGCATTGAATTATTTGGTCATTTAAAATTTAATCTGTATGTGTAAACAGGTATAACATGGTGTTTACTCCATTTACAGGGGTTGATCATTATAAGAGCTGCATTACTTTTGCTGCTGGTTTCATAGCAAAGGAAGATATTGTGTCATTTGAGTGGTTGTTCATATCATTTCTCAAGGCAATGGGGGGGAATGAACCTAATTGTACGATCACGGATCATGATCCAGCAATGAATATAGCTGTTAAAAGTGTGTTTAAGAAGACTGAACATCGATTCTATATGTGGCACATAATGAAAAAGTTAGCAGATAAGGTGGAGAAATCAATCATGCAAGAAGAAACTGGTTTCCTAAAAAAAATATGTTCTTGCGTTTGGCATCTTGAAATTGAACCCGTTGAGTTTGAAGAAAGGTGGAACAAGGCGATGGTTGAATACCACTTGGAAGATCATGAGTGGTTAGGTTATATGTACAAGATAAGGGACAAGTGGATTCCAGCATATTTTAGAGATGTGTTCCTTGGAGGAATAATGCGTACAACATTAAGATCTGAAAGTGAAAACAACTTTTTCTGCTCCTTTATCAATCCTCATGTGTCACTTGTTGAGTTTTACTTGAGATATGAAGCTGCAAGTGATGCCCAGAGACACACTCAAGGTTAGAATGATAATGATTCAAAGCAGAAATATCCAGAGTGCAAAACACCACTAAGGATAGAAAAGCATGCCTCACATTTATATACTAACTATGTCTTTTATGAATTTCAATATGAGGTTGAAATTTCTTGTTTTTCTTGTGGTGTTGATGAATTGAAGAAAGAAAATGGATTGGAAGTTGCAAAGGTAAGTGAAGGTAATCGGATTAGAACATTTGATGTTGTGTTTAATCCAACTAACTATGACATCACATGTTCTTGCAAGATATTTTATAGATAAGGAATTTCATGTAGACATATGATTTGGGTTTGGAAAGCAAAAAGGTTTGAAACCATTCCTGAGCAGTATATGCTACACAGATGGACTACTATGGCACTGAAAAAACCAATTTTTGACTTAGGTGGAAACCTGTTGGAGCAATGTGCAAATTTAATTGACAAGAAAAAATTGTTAAATGATTTATGGTTAGAGATACACACTTGTGTAAGTTTGGCAGAAGGCAATGATGAAGATATTCAAGACCTTGTGATAAATCTTCAAGGAATAAGAAAGGATTTGGAGGCTAAGAGGATTCACTGGACGAAAAAGGTAAAAAGGCACCGGTTCAAACCCCCCCTTTGGCACCGGATTTGAACCGTTGGGGATTTGAGGGATGCCAAATCCATGAAAATTTGGCACCGGTTCAAAACCGGTGCCAGCTAAAGCATTTAGCACCGGTTAACCGGTGCTAACTACATGCTTTGGCACCGATTAACTGGTGCCAACTACTATGGCGCGAATTTTTTTTTTAATTTTCAATACTATTGGCACCGGTTTTTAGCATGAACCGGTGCCTTTAACTACGTTTGCTTTTTTTTTTTTCCAGCAATAATATATAATAATATTAATACTAATAAATAAAATAATAATGAGATCATGTACATCCTGCATTAATTCTACCATTAGGATATTATAATAACAATAATTAATAATAATTATTATTAGTTTAATATTAGTAATAATAATTGAAATAATAATAATACATAAACATTGATAACAATCCCAAAATGTAATACTAATTAGAAAAAAGTGTCGTAATAACAAACAATATTAATCAGTAATGTACGTAGTATACAAGTTCAAATAGAAATAATACGTACAAATTAAATGTGATGAAGGACGCCAACATGTCTCGAACTTCATTAAGTTCTTCGCTCGTGAACGGACGTCCCGTTTGTCCCTTGCGAAACTTGGAATAAACGAAACGTAAGTTAGGAGTGCATTACCTAGGTTATATATGCATGTAAAAATACATTTACAAGTAAGGCCTATTTGACTACTATGATACCTATTTCCTACACTTCTTGTCAACTGAACTCATACTTACTCATAACATGTCATTATCACTTATTGATAGGTGGCTAAGGCTTGAAATTGCAAGAAAAGAGCATTTTAAGGGTTTTAGGACGTATTTTCAATCAAAATGGCCCAAGTAAGGCCTATTTGATTACTATGATGCCTATTTCCTACATTTCTTGTCAAGTGAACTCATACTTACTCATAACATGTCATTCTTACTTATTTATAGGTGGCTAAGGCTTGAAATTACAAGAAAAGAGTAATTTAAGGGTTTTAGGACGCATTTTCAACCAAAATGGCACAAGTAAGGCCTTTTTTACTACTATGATGCCTATTTCCTACACTTCTTGTCAAGTGAACTCATACTTACTCATAACATGTCATTATCACTTAGTTATAGGCTTCTAATGTGCAAAATTACGAGAAAAGAGCAATTTAAGGGTTTTAGGACGCATTTTCAACTATAATGGCCCAAGTAAGGCCTATTTGACTACAATGATACCTATTTCCTACATTTCTTGTCAAGTGATCTCATACTTACTCATAACATGTCACTATCACTTATTTATATGTGGTTAAGGCTTGAAATTACAAGAATATAGCAATTTAAGGGTTTTAGGACGCATTTTCAACCAAAATTGCCCAAGTAACACTACACGAAAAGAGCAAATTGGCAACGGTTTTGAACCGTTGCCATTGACCTGTAATTTTTTTTTTTGCTGCAATAATAATATATACATATTAAATAATAATTATTATTATAATATTAATATTAATAATAATAATTATTATTATTATTATCATAATATTAATATTAATAATAATAATTATTAATATTATAATAGTATTAATAATAATTATTATGATAATAGTAACAAAAATTAGTATTATTAATAACAAAACATAAATAATAATAACAATCGCAAGAGATGATCTTAATTAGAAAAATGTGTCATGGTACCTACAAACAATTTTAATTAGTTATAATAATGTATAGTACATAATTAGTAAGCTAAGGCTAGGATTGATGAAGTAGCTAGCTAGTAAACGATATTTACAAATTAAATGTGATGTAGGTCGCCAACATCTCTCGAATTACATGGAGTTCCTCGCTCGTGTATGGTTGTCCCGTTTTCCCCTTGAAAAACTTAGAATACACAAAACGTGAGTTAGTAGAATGAAGTGAATTAATAATAATTGGGGTTAGTTAGAAGGAATGACCCTAACAAAACTTGGAATAATACACAAAACGTAAGTGAACTCATACTTACACATAATAATAACATGACATTATTACTTAGTTATATGTGACTAAGCTAAGGAATGAAATAACAAGAAAATAGCAATATTAGGGTTTAGGTCGCATTTTCGATCAAAATAGTCCAAGTAAGGCCATTTTGGCTTCTAGGATGCCTATTTTCTATAATTCTTGTATATTGAAATCATAACTATTTAAAACATATCATTATCACTTAGTTATAGGTGACTAATGCTTGAGATTACAAGAAAAGAGCAAGTAAGTGGTTTTGGAACGCAATTTCAACCAAAATGGCCCAAGTAAGGCCATTTTGGCTACCAGGATGCCTATTTTCTATATTTCTTGTCTATTGAACTCATAACTAGTTAAAAATGTCATAATCACTTAGTTATAGGTGCCTAATGCATGAGATTACAAGAAAATAGCAAGTAAGTGGTTTTGGAACGCAATTTCAACCAAAATGGCTCAAGTAAGGCCATTTTGGCTACTAGGATGCCTATTTTGTATATTTCTTGTCTATTGAACTCATAACTAGTTAAAAAATGTCATAATAACTTATTTATAGGTGACTAATGCTTGATATTACAAGAAAATAGCAAGTAAGTGGTTTTGGAACGCAATTTCAACAAAAATGGCTCAAGTAGGGCCATTTTGGCTTTTAGGATGCCTATTTTGTATATTTCTTGTCTATTGAACTCATAACTAGTTAAAAAATGTCATAATCACTTATTTATAGGTGACTAATGCTTGAGACTACAAGAAAAGAGCAAGTAAGTGGTGTTGGAACGCAATTTCAACCAAAATGGCTCAAGTAAGGCCATTTTGGCTTCTAGGATGCCTATTTTCCATAATTCTTGTATATTGAAATCATAACTAGTTAAAACATGTCATTATCACTTACTTATAGGTGAATAATGCTTGAGATTACAAGAAAACAGCAAGTAAGTGGTTTTGGAACGCAATTTCAACAAAAATGGTCAAGTAAGGCCTTTTTGGCTTTTAGGATGCCTATTTTGTATATTTCTTGTCTATTGAAATCATAACTAGTTAAAACATGTCATAATCGCTTAGTTAGAGGTGAATAATGCTTGAGATTACAAGAAAAGAGCAAGTAAGTGGTTTTGGAACGCAATTTCAACCAAAATGGCTCAAGTAAGGCCATTTTGGCTACTAGGATGCCTATTTTCTATATTTCTTGTCTATTGAATCATAACTAGTTAAAACATGTCATAATCACTTAGTTATAGGTGACTAATGCTTGAGATTACAGCAAGTAAGTGGTGTTGGAACGCAATTTCAACCAAAATGGCTCAAGTAAGGCCATTTTGGCTACTAGGATGCCTATTTTGTATATTTCTTGTCTATTGAACTCATAAATAGTTAAAACATGTCATAATCATTTAGTTATATGTGACTAATGCTTGAGATTACAATAAAAGTGCAAGTAAGTGGTGTTGGAACGCAATTTCAACCAAAATGGCTCAAGTAAGGCCATTCTGGCTACTAGGATGCCTATTTTCTATATTTCTTGTCTATTGAACTCATAACTAGTTAAAACATGTCATAATCACTTATTTATAGGTGACTAATGCTTGAGATTACAAGAAAATAGCAAGTAAGTGGTCTTGGAACGCAATTTCAACCAAAATGGCATACCTCTTCAAGCTGACGTGTGTCTGTACAATGACTCATCACTATGTCATACGTGAATCTCATCACGTATAGGCCACAGTCAAATACATTTTCCTGTTGTGTGCACTAGCATGAGGAACAAAGCACATGAATCAAAATGCATAGCAAATAAGCAACATCTTAAGCATTGTAAAGTAAGAAAATCACAACATCATGGGTAAATTACCTTGGGTGCTTTCCATGTAGGACCTCGAGGAGATCGAGGACTTATCTTCTTCATGGTACTACAGAAAATCAAAGTAATAAGTTCAAATTTGACTAGTATAATCAATACATATGAGTTAAGATATGAAAATCAATAACAAGAATTGAAACAAACTAGATACTTACTTTTGCAGTATGGACCTCACGAGGCGCTTTCTTACTTGAGGTAACCGAGCAGAATAAAAGTAGAAGATTGTGTTACTGGAAACACAAATCACAAGTAGGGTCCAATGATAACTACACACGAGACAAACAAATCAATAGTTAGCCTATTACAACAAATAAACTGGGAAAACAAATGAACTTGACTAGCATAATCAGACAAACTCCTCATAATATGGGACGAATATAAACTTGTCTCCCGCACTCACTGATTGCCTGATACCCCGTTCAGCATAGTACAACACGTCATCGGAGTTGCCTAAGATTCTAGCAGTGGACATCTGCTCAGGGCATAACCACCCAACTTGACAAGGAGATTCAAGCTCCCATATTTGCTCCTGGAGTGCTCTAC